AACATCTTTTTCCATCTTGCACCACAGGTACAGAAACAGCACCACCCACAAATCCAACACAAATTACAGTCTAATAGGTGTAACACCAACACGGCCTTCAAATCCAACATCCAGCGCCAGGGCTGCGGAGTCGGAGTCGGAGTCGGAGTCGGTCGGAGTCGACAGATCTGCCCGGAGTCGAGTCAGAGTCGGAGTCGATTTTGGAAACCGTATCTGGAGTCGGAGTTGGAGTCACCGAAAATCAATCGACTCCGCAGTCCTGGCAGTGCTGCGGAGTCGGAGTCGGGAGTTGGAGTCGGTCGGAGTCGACAGTTCTGCGCGGAGTCGGAGTCGGGGTCGGAGTTGGTTTTTGAAAGTCTGAGTCGGAGTCGGAGTCAGAGTCGCCTAAAATCCATCGACTCCGCAGCTCTGTCCAGCGCACTCGGCCAAGGCCATCAATCAAGGCCGTAATTCTATATACCCTGGTATGAGGCCCTTGAATCCGCGCCTTAGGTCCGCGTGTGATTCGTGCATAGACTCGTATATTGTCGTCATAGACTTTCCTTAACCTGTATCTGAACTGCATATTTACGTCTGGACAACGAGTTGCGTTGGAGAGGCCGGAAATAGTGGCGATTTCAGGACCGCAAGAATGGACCGTCATTGGAATGATTCTTTTTTAAACCGTGCACTGTTTTCGCCCGAAATTTAATAGTTACTACAAAATATTTTGTAATTACGTTTCCACTAAGAATGAATGCCATCAGGGCTAAATTTTTAATACTATTGCATTTTGTCAAGAAGCATATAGTGCTGTTATATTGCAGTTTTAGCGCGTTTGTTACAAAATATGAAGCGAATAAGCGTCAGTGAAATTCATCAAAACAGTGCCAGAAGTTAATTTGAGGGAAAGCTATGTTAATACTAATTGCTCTTGTCCATCCACTAAAATTTATTAAATATTTTGCTTTGTGTATTCCAAAAGGAGAGGAAACTATTTCATTTGCGCCTTCATGTCAGAATTGAAGGTGGATCATTAAATTTTCAACGCAGTTTACAAACAAGCATTTGGTCTTTCTCGTTTATAAGCAGTGGCTAAGAAAAGGTTGATCAGTCCTGAAGTTCAGTCAGTCATTGTACCTCAACTTGGCAGCAAGATCCCCCAAGGACAGAGGATATATTGTATACATGTCCTGTAAATCAAAACAAACAAGCATTTGGTCTTTCTCATATATAAGCAGTGGCTAAGAAAAGGTTGATCAATCCTGAAGTTCAGTCATCATACCTCAACTTGGCAGCAAGATCCCCCCAAGGACAGAGGATATATTGTAAACCTGTCCTGTTAATCAAAACATTTTTGTGCCTTCAAAGGCTTAAGTTATCCGTGGTGTGTTCGGAGTTGGGCTATATGGCCGTTTTTGTTGTATGTTTATGTGGAGATTGAATATAACTGTGACCCTGTGCTTGTTTGTATACTTACGGTCAAACAGGGAACAGCACATTCACATAACATACTCACCTAGCACCTAACTCTGACTCATAGCTGTACCCTGCAGGATCTGTACTTGTTCATGTCTCAAGCATTAACAAAGCACTAAAGTAACTTAGTAATCATTTCCCACATTTTCTGAGCATCTAACATGACATACAGCAGTGCAGAGCAGCTTCAGAGAAGAAACACTTTAAATGCACAGACTCACACCAGCCACCCAATGAGCCAGTTTCTCAGTTGACTGTTTCCCTGGACACAGCTTGGCAATGTGAGCTAACTTTTGGCAAGTTGAAGGTTAGCAGGTAAGATTGAGTTAGGGTGAGTACCTACCTGTAACTGGGTGCTACTGCCATGCAGGTCTTGGGTAGGCTGCAAATATGTGTGATGATTGAGGTTAGGTCAGCTGTCAGGTTAGTCAGGTTCAGGCATGCTCATTGCTCAGGTCACATTTTTATGGACATTTGGCAAATTAAAAAACTAACAATCTGATCTAAGCTAACCCGACTAAACATACACAACTACTGACTATAGGAACTGAGCACCTACCTACTTGTGCCTACATCTCATACCATGTCAAAGTAGAGTTCCTTGGTGGAAGATTACCCTCAGTACTTTTCATCCCAGCCCTATGAAGAAAACTAATACTTCTCAGCTCTGAGTCACTGCTGGCCATCCACAGGAAGAAACGCTGAGACTGAGAGCTTTGCCATTGCATATTGGACCAATAATGACTATCGCGAATGACTATGAACACATAATATGATCACTACGTTGCATGGATTGTCACATTGACAATTTTACTACAGTCTACAATCCTTTTTTTCAAGAAATACAGTGATGATGATTAATATCAAAATCAACATAAAGTGGATTTAGTGATCCAAGCTTTCTCCTCCAGTAGCAATGGAATGATCACATGTTTGAGTTTCATTTGGCCAGACACTGAGTACCTGATGCACATTACAATCTGCATAGCATCTAAGCATAGTAAAACTGCCCAAGTCCATTCATTCTAGATTTTAACTTGATAGTTAGCACTAATTTATCTTGCTGTTGTAAGTTATCATTCAATATTCATACCAATACATCAATATGCGCTCATCAGTCAACATTTTCTGGCATGATCCTGCTCAGCGTACTCTTCAGTATTGCTCCAAGGTCTGCAATATTATAGCTTGTTTTTGGACAATAAGCTCTTTTAATTTTACTTTTTCTTGCTGATATATGAGCCCGATCAACTTGCGTTTATCAACCAAAATTTCATAACTTGTTCAACTTGATATCCCGCGCCCCAGTGGCGGTCTCGGCCAACTTCGCCCTAGTGAGGGGGGGCATATGTTACCACCCACCTCTAACTCAAAAACTAAGAGGGCTAGAAAGACGCGGTAAAAAGCAGTCGATAGCTCTCAATACGTACGTTTGAAAGTATTGCGGTCATTTTTCACCTTAGAGCAATATTGGGGTCACCAGAGGTCATCAAAGGTCAAAATTTGCCAATTGTCATTATATTTTTCAGAAAACATGCCGCTATCTCAGGAACTATGGTAGCTAGAAAAACGCATGGAAAAGCAATCGATAGCTTTTGAACTCTTCTTTTGAAAAGGTCATTATCAATATTGTCCTCAGGTCAACGGTTTAGCCTCCAGAGGGCAAAAACTCCAAAAATAGCTGTTTTTACGAAAAGTGTTTTTCGACAATAACTTTCGACTACAAAAAGCCACGACATTTCTATTGCCAGATTCGTGTTCCCCTCACCGAGACGCGTCGAATGAACTATAATTTGACCTTGAAAGGTCAACTTAAAAATTTGACCTCAGGTCAAGGTCATCACCTGACCGGAAAAGGTCATGTTGCATATCAGTCGATGCGTCTCAACAAGACAAACACAATGAGACCATCCCCAGCGTTCTATCTCTTTCCAATCGCGAGTTATTGGTAAAAAACTGTTTGTAGCCTCAAATGACCTTGGATGACCTTTCTAGAGGCTATCAGCAAAAATGACACCTTGGTCATCACGAGTGGACTAAATCATTGTGATTCTGAAATATTTGGACTGTTCCTATGCGTACACACGGATCTAGAGGCATTTTCATTTTTCTCCATTGACTTGTAATGGAAAGGTCATGCCACTGACCTGACCTTAGGTCACGGATATAAAAAATCCGAGATATACAAATTGTAGGCTCCCATAACAGCATGCAATCCACCAAGTTTAAAACCTTTCTGACAAACACTGCAGGCTGGACATGATTGCAAACTTTTTTTAAGGCTTGGTCAGTTAACTTGACCTGGTGACCTGACCTGACATGACCTGGGGTCAAAAATTTCACACATTGTCCAAAATTGATGTACCAAAAGCTACCCCAAGCGGCGCGGCGCTACGCGCCGCGGTTTTTTATTCACACGCGAAAAACGCGACAGGGTGGTAACATATGCCCCCCCCCACTGGGGCGAAGGATATTGATATTGCTCAGTAGTCAGGACCTCTGTCAGCCTCCTGGATACTTCAGATTGTTTTCAGTCAACATGCTTCTTAAATATGATATAAGTCAATCTTAAGGGATTCAAAACATCCAACAAAACGACGTACAAGAGCAAGAAAACCACCAGATAAACTAAAAAAATAGCCTTGGAACAGAGCCAAGTGGTGCTCCATTTGTTTGTTTACAATGATTGTAGTGCTGATGTATTTTTAGGACTCTGAACGTCGGCTTATAAAAAAATGAAACGTTTTTACAAAAGTTGTAAGGCAAGTAATATTTATCTGAAAGAACTAAAATATTCAAAAGCCAAACACTATGAAATACATGAATCGGAACGAAAAAGTAACCCAAAGATCCAGCCTTATCACCGGCTCCTAAAACTGCAACACAATCAGCACTTTTCCCCGCAACTCGTTGTCCAGACGTAAATATGCATCTGAACTAGCGAATAGATCCCCACCTCGTCTGACTATTGGCTGATGGATGTGACGTCACATAACCCCCAGGCCAATGAGCGTGGGCGTCAGGTTATGACGTCATCTCCCGCGAAAACCAGCCAGTCAGCGCTGGAGGTGCGTAGCGTGTAGCATGATTGGGAATTTGCGGCCCGGCCGTGTTGTACCATCTTAAAACCCCAAATCGGAATTATTGAAGGAAAACTTCATGAGCCATGGATATCTTGATGGATATGCCTGAGCTACTATGGTATCATGATGCTACCATACTTCATTCCCATTATAACCAAAACCTTGAAATGCACGTTTGTTTACACGCCGTATCGCCGCGATCGCCGCACTTTTTCGCTCTAATATCGTATACACTGCCGCGTTGTTGTGTGCAAAGTCCTATATACCTTATATACCGGTTGTGCGTGGAGTCGGGTAGGTAATCACTAATCGAGGTGTGGTAGGTTTGCAACTCATATTTTAGCCCATGCCTTCTTGGCTTAAACTTTCCACACTCACATTGGATTTTAAGATCCAATTTTGCTCTGTTGACATTTATGCTGAAGCCAATTTTGGGACACCACCAAGGCTGTTGTGCGCATATATTTTCCAATGTTTCTCTGGGTTTTAGGAGTATTAGTGCAAATTTTCTCAAATAGCAATGAGAATTACCTACAGTGCAAAGTCAGTGCCTGCAAAGGAGTGAAAAGTTATCTGCAACTTAACCTAGAAGAAAGATGAAAAGATAGACCAGAAAATAAGTAAATAACAACTTGCTTTAGGCACATTTTAAGGACCCACCAAACCATTTTCCAGGATAAGCCATCCATGATGAAAAGACGAGGACCACCTGTGCAAAAGTCCATGATGGACTTTTTCTCAAAGAAAAGTAAAAACAGAAACAGGCAAGTAAAAAAGTATTTGAAAATGTAATGGAAGCCATTCTGGATGCATATATTTGACATGTGTGGTAATTTACAACAATGTTTAATTGGAATTGTATTGTATAATACATTTTGGTCAGTGTTTTAGTCTCAGCCTCTTAGATAGGTGTCTAATTTTGGTGCTGCTTTATTTAAATGAGCATTTTAAAGCAATTAAATCCACCTTTGTGTTAGTATCAACTAATACTACCTTGGCTGCTGAGTGCTGGCATATATGGATAATGGATCACTACATCTGCATTGTTCTGAATTCCACACACCGACTTTTTCAGCCTGGATCCACAGCCATCTGTCCCAGCCTGTGATCCTCCGAGCACCCCTTCTCCTACTCCTGGACCAGAGATGCCCACAGCAACAGCAGGAGCCTATGCAGGTACAGTAGCTTATGTTGCAGTTCATTCAGGCATATTGTGTTCAGTTATAGTTTAATGAATTCTTGTATTAAAAATGTGAGTATTACATGTATATCCCTCTGCTATGTGAATAGTGTAATGACAGCTATTGTTCTACCTCTAAACCGCCTTTTGCACCTGTGCTGTTGTATTATTGTACCTGAATCTGAAAGCAAACAAGATTTAATCAATATATACTGCCAGAGCATGCAGTAATATCATCAGAAAAAAATTATACCTTTTCCCAACACTTATATCACTTTCATTTATTTCTAAAACACGCATGATTTTAAGGGCACCGGCAGCCACTTACCTATCGACATCCCAAGTCAGGGGCGAATGGGCCGCGCACACAGAAGGACACGGCCAGAGGTCACGGGGTCGCCTGGCCACGCCGCCGCCCGAATCGAGCTACCCATTGCCACATTCTTATGGTTTGCTTGATTTGTTTTGTTCGGTCGGTCCCTTTGCCACAGTCATAGCACAGTCAAGACTTTTCGATCGGTCTATAACGTGTCGGTGCATTGTAGTCTGCGCACCGACCGCTACCGCCACCTATCCTACCCACTGGTCGACGAGGCTCGCAGCGCTCGCGGCGACCTCTACAGCGACGAGTGCTGACACGGCTCAGCGGCACAACGCGCACCGCTCGCCGGCAGTCACAAATAGTATCTAAAAATAGAATAGTTATACTAGCTTTGTGAATTCTGGCTAAGATTGGTTTGAACTATCAATGGCGCATGCTAGAGCAGAAGCTAATATGAGCGTCATTTGACCATTGTAGTCGGCGCGCCCCTAAGCCCCAATTATCATATTATCATAGAGCGTAAGCTGATTGTACGGGCGTCACCGTCGTGTTACCTATGCCGTCTTCTTAACCTTCTGTCGGTAACCTTGCTTTAGTCTAAACAGACTACTACATATACCTAGATTGTTTTTACTTTTTTATCGGACATTAGCTGGCGGTCCGAAACACCCACTGGTTGTAATGGTAACATGACTTTGACAAACGGTTTTTGAGTGAATGAACTAGAAACGTTGCATTTTCTTGTTTTATTTTTATGCAAATAACATTTTTTTAATATTTTGCAAACGAGCTTGGTGGTATTCCGACTTCTTAGGTACCTACCAAAGATGCCAGCGCCGACAATCGGCAGCTTTTTTCCTAATATGCTTGCCTAATTGATAAAGTAATTTTCAGAGTCCAACCAGCAGAGTCCAACCTGACCGTTTAGCGACCGGATAGTAATCCTATATCCCCTTGCTTGTCTCTTCAGAGGAGGATCGCCCCTTGGCCCTGGAGTCTCCTGTGACGGGTCCTGGCCCTGGAACCTCATCCTTCACGCCATCTGAAAATCAGTCAGCAGGCTCTCCAGACCAGAGTGGTGGCGATTCAGAGGACATTGTTGGAATCCCAGATGATAGGCCTGTTCTGCCTCCGAATGACTTCGGTTTTTTTATCGCAAAGAAAACCAGCGATGAAGAAAAGCTAGAAGGACTGACCAAACGATGGTGTCCCTCCGAGAAAAGTCAGTTCCCTGTTTCGTATCACACAAAGAATGGGGTGTCCCGGCCGAGGTATCTTCTCCGGCATCACTTGGATACATACAAGTGGCTGGCTGTATCCAGAAAGGGGAACTTATCTGGTGCATGGTGTAGTGTTTGTGTGCTTTTTGGCGAAACTCTTGATGAAGGCGAAGGTGCACGTGGAGGTAAAGGCAGGTCGAAAGGCAAGCTGGTGAGCCGCCCCCTTGTCGACTTTTCTGACTTGACCGGCAAGAATGGTGCTCTGGTTTCGCATGCCCAGTCAGCATCCCACCAGGCCAATGCTGCAAAGGCTGCCAGCTTTACGATCGCAATGAAGGATCCAAAGAAAAGCATCGATGCAGTGATGGACACAGCGAGCGAGCGCGAGGTCAGGCGTAACAGGGCAGTACTGACGTCAATCATCGAAACGCTCAAGTTTGCTGTGACGCAAAACATATCACTGCGAGGCCACCGTGACGATGGGCGAATTGATGGGAGTGGTACTCAGCCAGCCGAAAACGATGGAAACTTTAAAGGGCTGCTCCGATTTAGGCTTCAGAGTGGCGACGAAGTACTGAAAAGGCACCTGCAAGATGGTTCTGGTAACGCGCTTTACACGAGCAAAACAGTCCAGAATGAGCTCCTCGACGTCCTCAGGACTTTGGTGCAGGAACGTGTGACAAACAAGGTGCAAAAGGCTCAAGTATGGGCGTTGATGGCTGATGACACTACAGACATTTCAAACAGAGAGCAGATGGCTGTGGTGGCTCGATATGTAGACGAAAATGAGAGTGGCCAACTCGTAATTCGGGAAGACCCTGTCGCTCTTCTGGATGTGATGGACGTCATTCGGCGGTCCGCGAACGGCCCAGAGCTGAAGATGTCGGGGAAGAACCTCGCAGAAGCGCTGCTAGGCAGTATCCGCAAGCTGGGCCTGGACACTTCTCGCCTTGTAGCCCAATGCTACGACGGCGCGGCTGCTATGTCGAGTGAGCGGGTGGGCGTGGTGGCACAAGTGAAGGAAGCCGCACCACTGGCAGAGTATTTCCACTGTGCGTCTCATGCATTGAATCTATCGACGTCACTCATCAACAAAGTGGATTTGGTAAGAAATGCCTTGGGGACAATGGAGACTGTCGTCGTTTTTCTAACAGATGGTGCAAAGCGGGGCGAAATCCTGCGCTACGCACAGTCATCAAAGATGGACGGCGATAAGAGGCTCAAGCTGATCAAACTGTGCCAAACACGGTTTGTCGAAAGGCATCTCGCTGTGGAGCGTTTCTTGGAACAGCTCAGCGCTATCCACCTGGCACTGGAGCAGATCGCCACGTGGCAAGATCGGCGCTCCAGTTCGAAGGCCACGGCGCTTCTGAGTGCCATCTCGAGGACCGAATTCCTGGTAGGTCTGGTCGTAGTTGAACGGTTGGCCGGCATCCTTCGGCCATTGGCTCTGGCACTTCAGGATAAGCAGCTGGACCTCACTAAAGCCCTACAGTTGGTAGATGCGGTGAAGTCCGTGCTGACGGAGCAGAGAGCCTCCAGTGAAAAGGAATTCGCTGTGTTGATGCGGACGGTGGAATGCGCTGCAGAGAAGCTGAGTGTAGAGGTGAGGAAGCCGCGTCTGCCAGAAAAGTCCGTCTACCGGGGAAATGCAGGCAGGGATCTCTCCACAGAAGCCTACTACCAGATCACGGTCTTCAATCCTGCCGTGGATCTCGTCCTGCAAGACATCAACCTGCGCTTCGGCAAGCACACGCAGCTGACCGCGAGCCTCAGCAAACTCCTGCCAAAGAAAACAGTTTCTACGGAGTGGTCTGACGTGGAGCCAGCCTACGAGCAGTTTAAAGGTCTCCTAGGATCAGTAACTGACTCGCAGGTGAAAGCCGAGTTCAGCGTGTGGAAAGCCATGTGGCGTGATAAACCCAAGGAAGAAGTTCCGACGACTGCTATCAGTTCCCTCAACGCGTGCCCGGCTGAAATCTTTCCAAACGTACATATGCTTCTAAAGGTACTCAGCGTGCTACCAGTAACAACCGCAGAAGCCGAGCGCGTGTTTTCCAAGGTAGCTAGGACACTGACAGCGCTCAAAACGACCATGACCGAGGGTCGGCTCGAGGCGCTCGTTCTGCTTCAGGTACATCGGGACCACATGCCGGCGACCAGCGAGGTCATCAACCGCTTCGCTGCGTCTGCCTGTCGCCGTCGGGAGTTCCGATTGCGCCTGTAGCGCGACGCGATCCTGATCCTGCGCGATGTGGCCCTGACCCTGCGCGATGTGATCCTCGACTGCTCAATGTTATCCTCATCCTGTGCGATGTGATATTGAAAGGCTGACCATATATGTATGTACATACATAATATACATTCGGTTCTGCGCCAGACGTGTCAACTGTCATCACTATCAGATGTCTGACAGATAGGGTGACCGCGTATTAACTGATAGGCTGATTGTGCTGATCTCTGTGAACAGGACAGCTAGCATAAACGCGATGAAATCACCTGATTTCAGGAAACACATGTGATATAAATCATACGCGTATTGCACAAAAACAGCTTGGCTTGAATAACAAGTTCTTCATCATGCATCATTTTGTGAGCTTACTTGTGAGCCATTTGTGCCCTAAACCGCTAATGTCATTATGTCAAATGCCATTCCGGGTTGAAAATCCAACCATAAGACCGATTCATAGATTCATATCTGGCTAAACATATCCTGTGCTGAGGGATTCATGCTATCAACATTTTACCACAATTACATGTTTATTACCAAAGTTATTTTTGTCCCATAGGCACCCAAGCTTCTACTAATAAATACACGCTATCACTTTAAGCATCATTCACGTCCATCTGCTTTTGCATGCAGAGCAGGATGCGGAAAATGTACCCCATCACGGCCGGCTTTCTCAATGACATTTTGACTACTCCCAAGTAATAATTTAGGTTTTCTGCCTCCTTATTTGTTGTTCGGATATCGCTGCATGTATAAGCCCACCTTGCAGTTCCCCTTCAATTGGCCTAGGCCTAGCAAAAAATAGTCAGGCGTTAACCCCTCTCCTTAGAAAGGCGCTTTAGCAGGGTATAGGTTGCCACTACGGATTGCCATTTGCAAGGGCGCAGCCAAATTGGGGCCTATTAACCCCCCCCCCCCCCCTACCGCCGAAGTACGTGATTTTTTTTTGATTTTTTATTTTATTTGATTTTTTTGGCAAAATTGCAACCTTACAAAATAAAGTGGCCGAAATCCGGGGAGAAAATAGGATTTGGGGGTAGGTTAGGTTCTGCGGGCCCTATCCTAGCGAAAAACATGATGGGCATTTGGCCCCCCCTTTGAGATGCCCCTGGATCCGCCCTTGCCCTAACTTACTATTTGAGGAGGGTGCGTCTGTCCGTTACCGAGGTCCCGACTTGGTGGTGCTTTGCGTGGACTACAGGCCAGACCGTTGCACCTAGCGCGGTGAAACTTGCACAACTTATAGATCAAGGATGCGCGACGTGCCTTTGAGGGGTCTTTTCTCGATCGGATTGATAGGGAGCGCGTGGCGCGTGCTCAAAAAGTGCAAATTCGCGTCATAGACTTTACATGTATAAATCGGCGTGCGAAATCGGGCGAAAACGGCTAATTTTGGCCGACACGGGTCCAGTTCCCGTGCAATATCTTGGTGACCAGGGGTGCGACCGGCACGGGGAAAACAGCATCGTGTACAGAATTGAACGGGCTATTGAATGGTGTGCAATGCAGAGGATAGCACGCGCCACGTGCACCGGAGAGGGCACTTTTATTTGAAAAATTGCGGTTTTTGAGGGATTTTGGAATTAATTTTATTTTTAGGTGACCGTTAAATGGAGCGAGTTGAATCAACGCCTATTTGCAAGAGAAAGGTACCGCCTCTCATATAAAAATTGTGAAAAGCTGATTGATCCAAATCAAGGTGGTGCAAATCACAGGAGAAAATGGTGTTTGTCAATTTTGTGCCACTTTATTAATCACACGGGGTTTGCTGCATAACCTGATACCTTTGGCAATTAAATATGGTACCATTGGATAGAGCATTCAATTCTGTCCAATATTCACTCTTCATTTTTGCATGATTAGCAACAGTATCCTTAAAAATGTAAATGTTCCAAACCATTACATTGTCATCAGGGCCTCCTCTAAGGATTTTTCACTGGGTGGGCAAAATTTTCGCAACTCCCCTGCCCAAAGGCGGACCCAGCCACTTGTTTTGGGGTCCAACCAATTTCAAAACCTGTGACCGGGCGGAGGGTGCGGGGGTGAGGCGAAATAAGCTAAGCTATGCCATTTTTACCAAGCTGATTTTTTTTTGCCAAGCTGATTTTTACCTTGTAAGACCGATGAAGAGCAGTGCTCGAAATATAGGGGGAGGGGCTCTTCCGCTCTTCATAGCCCCCCTCCTAACTCCGAAGTCCGAAACTACTGGGCCGATCGTCAAAATTCAAACGGCGTCTGATAGCCCCGAAAAACTGTCGGGCGAAACCTAATTTCATTGACCTCGAGGTCACCGATGACGTCAGAGGTCAGGTCAAAGTAAAAATTATTAGCCTTTTGGCTTGTTCACATTTTAAGCTCTGGCCGCCGTCTTACAAGTCAGATCAAGCTCATTTTTGAGTTACACACTCGTGAAAAGATGCTTTAGATACCCTCAAGGTACCAAAATTGTACTTTGATTTTCAGGTCAGGGTCAGGTCATCACAGGTCACGGAAATATTATATCATGCGTCGGTCAGGTGACACATGTTTTATGGTCCATTTAGGCTATATATGTATTTCGAATTTGATGTCGTTTGTGTCATTTGAGGTCATTTTGAGTTGAATTTAGCTTAGGTCAGGTCACTTTCAGGTCAAAAAAGGTCAAATTTTGAAGGAAGAACTTTTCAACAAAAAAAAAGTGTCTATTGGATGCAGTTTGAGCTCAAGAACACGATGGTGCTTTTTATATTGGTGTACGATGTCAAAAACGCACTGAAAAATTGATTTGAAAAAAAAATATTTTTGTGAATTTTTTGCAATAATGCGTATAATTTGGCCATTTTTTAAATTGAAACTTGCTAGTGTAAGTCATAAGCATGTGTTCTATCACATATATTTGTTTTTTTTTTTCGAAAAGTCAAAAAGTTTTTGAAAAAAAATAAAAGTTTTGAAATTTTTTCCTCAAATGTTGAAAATTTTGAAAATCCCAGATAGTAGTTTGATAGCGCAGTTTATTCTGAGTCCTCTCGTGCAAATAAATTGGATCTAGCTTAAAAACTGAGCTCTTGGGAGCGATTGCCGTGGTTCAATGTTTTGCGTCGAAATCGGCCGAACATGATGTCACTCTGGCGTCATTTCCGGCCGACCTATGGTAGCTACAAAGTTCATATTTTGACAAATGGTGTCAAATTGATGCAACCGAAGGTACTGAAAGTTTGGCTTCTATACATCAAGCCGTTTGGAAGTTATTGCAGAAAAACGGGAGGGGAGCTATGAATATCCCCCCCCCCCAGTGGGGCGCGGGTTAAGACCGGAAATGTATAGTACCGGACGTCCTGCCGGACCTTTATTTTTTTATTTGCTTCTGGGTGGGCAAATCAACGCCACTGGGTGGGCAATTGTGGTGAGTTGGTGGGCATTTGCCCACCCAGTGGGTATGTTAGAGGAGGCCCTGATTGTCATTTTTAGCGAAATTCATCGATGGCCCTCAAAAGACTTCGCGCCAGTTTTCGAATCATTCTAAAGTAGAACGCATGATAATACGACACGGGCACCTCGATGCGATGTATCTTTTTGTTTTCTTACAAAATGCTTGGCCGTCAAAAAGCAATCGAACGAAATGGATATCTATCAACCAAATCGACACAGACCAACCCAATACCCACGGGTCAAAAATCCCCCCTTCGCATTGCGGAGCACGCGGGTAACCCTAGTTTTTATCTATTTCGTAGGGCGGTCAATGTCATGATTCACTATGTAATCTTGATGATTCACGACCAATTAAAAGTCGTGCAAGGCTTCAAATGCGAACCGATTGGCCAGGAAAATATGGGAATAAAAGGCGTAAATCGTCACGCTTTCTTCTGCATGCTCTACCCGGGGAGTCAATCATGCCGGCCGACGTACAGCGTCGGTATTATAAGTAGGTAAATGGTGCTTGCTGCTGCGCGCCGTTGGCTGTAAGGAAAACGTATTTCCCCCACTTCATCGTTTTAATCGTTATTTGATGATTGATTTCGAGCTGTTGTAGCAAAGAATCTAACTTTTTCAGAGATGCAGTTTATTCTTTCGCAAAATGCAAATGCATCTTGTTATATTGCAGTGTTTTAACTTTTAACCGAGTTCTTGCTTGAGAACAACTTTTTAGGAAAACTCCTTATATTTCTTTGAAAATTATAATATTGTGAAAATATGAGTTTCGTGAGCGATTTATTCAGAAAAAAATTACTCTAGTATGTAGACTTCATTTTTTATTTTCAATTATTAAATTTATACAAATCTGTAAAGTTTCTCACATGATCCGCAAAGCAAGAATAGACCAATCAAAACACAGTAATCAGCAAAATTGCCTTGCGCCCAAGATGGCGTCTGCGGAGGACGATAGCGAGGAAAACAGTGAGAAAATGGAATCTTTATTCTCAACTGAAAAAGATAAGATTCTTTTGCCCATTTATCAGGTAAGAACATGGCTGAGTCGTTTGTCAAGACGTTTTCCGTGTATGTGACGATCATCCGGATTTGCCGCAACGTGAACTCTCCGGCATTCCACGCTGCTTTTGGAGATAAATATTCCATTTTAAGTCGCAATTTTACCAGTTCTGTTGGCATATTTATTATGATGCTTGTTTTATTCCACTATAAAGTCTCACTTCCTCATTGCTGTCTATTTTTCACGTTTTAAGCCGGACATGTGCTGGTGTGATGTTGATGGAATGCATTAAAAATATGTTAAGTTGATAAATTATCTTTCTTTCCAATTATTATTTGCCAGCATGACATGGCCACACAGTAGTTAATTGGATATAAAGCATATACAGCCTGAGGTGGATGATGTAAAGCATGACATGCATTAATATTTACCAATACCGTGTGTTGTGCTTCTTGGAACACAACTTTAGATGCTCCTATCATAATTTGATTTAATCACTCACACTGCTTGGCACTGTGCCGTGTCCAAGGTAATGACTCAAATTTTAGGTACTCAATTTTTACAAGCTTGCTTTTAACACATTCCTAAAATAGCCGGTCCCGTAGCTCAGTTGGTAGAGCGTTGGACTCCGCGTAGTGAGAGCACGCGTTCCCGGTTACAACAGTCCGGGTTCGAAACGCGACGGGCGCTTGACATTTATGGGCCTCCTGACAGGTATGGTTGCGGTTGGTGGCAGGCCGTAGCCAGGTGAAGTCAGTGAGGGGACCGGCCG